AACGGGTTAGAAAAACTCCGCTTTGTTGTTTATTTATTTAATTCTTTAAAATGTTTCAGTATAAGTTTCCAAAAATGCTTAGCTTGCATTATTCAAGTTAACCGAAAATTTTAAATTCTATGAATGTGTAGATGCTGGGGGAGAATCTCTATCTAGTTGTTGAACAGGTTGAGCCTGAAACAGCAGCTAAAGTAACCGGGATGCTCCTTGAGATGGACCAGACGGAGGTTTTGCATTTGCTCGAGTCACCAGAAGCTCTGAAAGCCAAGGTTGTGGAAGCTATGGACGTTCTCCGAACTGTTGCTCAGATGCAGCAGAGTGGTGGTGCGGCTGATCAGCTGGCTTCATTATCATAAATTGATAACATTGTCCCTTGAGTTCGATACTATAATATGAGTAAACATCTTAGTGTTGCCTTTAACGAGTTCCAATGAGTTGCATATTTAGTCAGGTATGCGGTTTTGGTTCAAGTTTTTTTTCGAGTTTTTTTGGGGTGACTCGGATTATGGCACTTTCATTGTCTTCCATCATTTTCTTTGTATTGAATTGATTATTTTGTGACTTTGGGTAAAAAAAATTCCGGTCTCATCAAGCTGGATGAGATTTTGATCACTTCTGTTTTGGTTGCATTAATGTTTTGTTCATATCATATTCGTATATATTTCACGTGTTATCGAATGAGTGCTCCCACGTATTGATTTTAGAAGAAGATTTTTTCCTTGTCTAATGCCTTTTCTCGCGCAACTAGTGCTGATGAAATGCCTTTTGACCAATAGAAAGAAAGAGATGGCAGCTCAGGCCGGGAGTCGAACCCCGGAAGAACGGTAGCTTCAATCAAAAGGAGATGGGACTCGTTCTTGAGCCTAAAAATAGGCTTATTTGTAAGTTAAGTGTCCAAAGTATATCTTTTATTGACATTAGGTATTTTAATTTTTTTTTTATCAAAATAAGTATTTAAAATTTCATTTCATAATTATTTTCAAATCACCGATTAAAAAATCACTATCTTTCATTAATGAATGCTTTTTATGCTTTTTAACTTTTTTAAATCAAATTTATTATTACAAGTGAAATGGACGGATTTTTAGTAGTTGAGATTTTGATTTTACTTGCAAATAGATGAATTTGAACCATCAAAATATTAAGTATTAATTTTTGGGACTTGAGGTTACCAATATTTATAAAAAGAAAAATTGAGAATGAAGGTGTTACATATCATGTATTTATTAGACGATTTCCTAATGTTAAATCTAAAACTGGAAACATAATAAAATATAAGACCCGTATTTTGATAAAAAAAAAAATAATTAAGCATATAAAATCAATAATAATTTAGACGTTTATTTTGTAATTAAATCTTAAAAGTAAGAAACAATACTCCAAAAATATAATACATGAGGTAGATTTTGACTTGATCGAGGTTTTACCTTGTGTAATTTTCTTTTAATCTTTAATTTAGAAACAGATTTAGAAATGATTCGTCTTGTCCGACTTGGGACGCCAGCTGTTTCTGTTAACAATGTTTGGAAAGCTATTCATACATTTTGAGGGTTTACCGCGGATTAAAGTTTTTATGTGGCTTGTTTGTCGAAAAAGAGTTATGACTAATGGAGAGAGGGTTCGACGCCACATATCTTTTGATAGTAGTTGTCGAATCTGTGGTGCCGTGGTGGAAGACATTGACCACATTCTTCGCAGGTGTCCTCCTGCTTATCATGTGTGGAGGGATTTGATACAACCTGACAAGTTATCAACGTTTCTCTACCAAGACCTTGATGCGTGGATGCAAGCAAACATAACAGGTTCAATAAGGTTTGCTAAACCAAGTGAGAACTGGGACCTACTTTTGGTTCAATTATTTGGAATTTATGGCTGATGAGAAATGCTAGAGTTCTTGAAAAATCCATTGAGAAAGAGGGTAGTGTTCTTGATCGCAGCAGGCACCTTGTGGAGTTATCCTTGAAAGCCATGGAGGAATGCAAGACTTAACTCTCCAGCGCGGCACATTGTTGTTAGTGGTCCTTCCCATTGGTATCCTCCGACTGAAAACTGGATCAAGGTTAACACTGATGGTGCTCGCCGAGGAAGTGATGGATACGCTTCGTGTGGAGGAGTGGCTCGTGACAATCTTGGGGTTTGGAAGTTCGAGTTTTCCAAGTTCATTGGAGTCTGTTCGGTTACTGAAGCTGAGATTTGGGGCGCATATACGGGTCTGTTGTTAGCTTGGGATGCTGGTTTTCGCTTTATTGTGATTGAAGTCGATAGTTTGGAAGCTCTCCATTTTCTTCGAAATGATTCCAATGTTGTTCATCATTAATGTTGGCATTAGGCTGAGCTTAGGAAGCGTAATTGAGTTGTGAAAGTGAGCATATTCGACGTGAAGGTAATAAGGCAGCCGACGCGCTTACAAGGAGTGCAAATGGTGATGAATTGGAGCTATCTATCTTTGAGGATCCCCCTGCAGCTGCTGTTCGTTTGCTGCATGAAGATAATAAGTACCTAAAGGTTGAAGCAGCTTTCTGGTTTTGCTTTATTCTTTTATTTTGTTTTGTTGAACCTTTGCACCTGTGTATCTTATTATTTGCTCATTGCTTGAATCTATACTAATTTGGTATATTTTCCTTCTGGCTTTCGTGTTTTGTGTGTGATGCCTTGGATACCACAATGGATATCAGTTGACAATTACGTTGAAGTTAGAAGGTTAAGAAACATGCGAATTAATTTGTTATTAATCCCTATACAGACGAGAAGTAGTAGCCGGCAGTGTGGTTGTTGGGAGTCTTTGGGTAATGTTTACCTCGGGTGAACCCTTACGGTTGTCTTATTTCCTCTTCCCCACTATCCATTGTGGTTTCTCCCTAAGCCTATCAACGATTGTGGACCGGGTCTTATGTTGCTTGAAATGGTCATTGATCAGGAGCCACGGGTGAGAGCGCCGATGGCCTTTTTGTTCGAAATAGGATTCACCATCACTTTGAGACACGTGTTAGTACGAACTAGACTGAGCAGAACAGCATGAATTGGACTGTATGAATACACATGTCAACAACTCTTATAGTATTAATCATTGTACTTTGATTAATTTTTGTCTTACACTATTAAAATTTTGAAATTTATATTCTAACACAAATGGTATAAGGTAGTAGTACGGTTATATACATACTTCTAAAAAGAATTAAATTAGAAAATATAAATAGCAAAAATTAATAACATAATTTGATTTTAAAATTTAATAATTGTCATTTTAATTAAAATTTTAAAATCTAAAGATTAAATATATAACATGTATATAGTATTAGGGACTAATGGCCGAATTCAACCCTCCAAATCATACCATATATACCGTTAAAAGCGCGCAAACAGCTAACCCTGGATGCGAGAAGGAAAATAAATAAATATCTGGTTGACATTAGGGGAAATGCTCACGTGCTGCCGTTAATATATGACTTAAAAAAAAAGTGATACCAATTTTTTTATTGTTGTGTATAATAAAATCGATAAAAATTATTGAAAAAATTATTATTTCTATTGGATTTGTTATTATTTTAGTATTTTATCGGGTTTCTTAACAAAACCGGTAAAAGCGCTATCGGTTTTGTTATTGTTGTGAATAACAAAACCGGTAAAAATTATCAAAAATATTATTATTTCTATCGGTTTTGTTATTATGTTGGCATTTTACCGGGTTTCTTAACAAAACCGATAAAAGCGCTACCGGTTTTGTTGTTTTTTTATCGGTTTTGTTATTGTTGGGCATTTTACCGGAAATTTTAAAAAACATTAATGTTTTAGGTATAAATAATAATGTTTTAGGTAATTTTTACCGGTTTTCTTATGCCCAACAATAACAAAACCGGTAAAAATAGACTTTTTTAATGACAAAATTAGAAAACACAAAGATTTGTTTCTATCATTTTGTCCAGTATAGTTCTCAAACATAAAATTTTCAAAACAGTGTCGATACATTTATTGTAAGTATCGATCATCAAAACATCGAATCCAATTATTATAAAGTAATAGGTAAAATATATCTGTTTAATGAGAGAATAGATAAATATATATGTCGATACATTTTCTAAAAGTATCGACCCAAAAACACGAAACTGATAATTATAATGTAATAGGTAAATTTATAATGTAAACGGTATAAATATATCAGTTTTATAATAGAATATGTCAACATAATGTATCGACACAAATTTAAAAAGTGTCGATACATTTTGTCCAGAATGAATGTCAAACGAGGTGCACGCACAAAGTATCGATACATTTATTAAAAGTATCGATATCAAAAACATAGAAACCGATAATTACAATGTAATATGTAAATTTACAATGTACCCGGTAAAAATATACCGATTTTATGAGAAAATAAGTCTACATAAAGCATCGACACGTTTTAAGTTTGTGACGATACTTTTTTTCAGAATGAATGCCCAACGAGGTGCACGCATAAAGTGTCGATACATTTAAAATTGTATCGATCTCAAAAACATCGAAACCAATCATTATAATGTAATAAATAAATTTACAATGTTATCGGTATAAATATACCGGTTTAATTAGAAAATAGGTCAATATAAGTACTACTTATTACATTATATAAGCGCGACCTAATATGTTATTATACTTAATAATATTTCCGGTTAAATGTATATTTTATTATATAAACGCTACTTAATATGTTATTGTATTTGATAATATTTTCGATTAAATGCTTATTTTATTATATAAACGCTACCTATTACATTATATAAGCGATACTTAATATATTATTGTACTTGATAATATTTTCAGTTAAATAATATAACATAACTAATATAAATTTTAACCGATCACTTATTTATCAAATCTCATATTTTTTAAGCGTTGCACACCAGAATTTCCCTGACATTGGCCCAAGATATTATTATCGCTCTTGATTACGTGGCACTTATCTGATTTAATCACACGTTTAAAAGCGTCGCATTGCAGCCCTTTATTGGCGCCCCTAGCAACAACACCGCCTCTCTCTCTCTCTCTCTCTCTATTTTCTATGTCAATTCGAAGGAATATTTTCCCTTTAAATTCTAAACAATCTTCACGTTTTTCTTATTCTCCGGTTTGAAAGCACAGCAAAAAAGGAAAATAAACTTCAATGGAACATAATCTCCGGCTGAATTTTCCTGCTCCGGCTCCGGATCCGGATCCTTTGGCCTGTCTCAATGAGTTGACTCAGACGAACTCGGAATCATCCGCCTCTGGTGTAACCATTGAGAGCTTCCGAGATCCTACTGCTAATGCAACACCGGTAATTTACTTTTTTTTCTTCCTTTTTTCTTTTAACTGAACTTTTTTCTTTGAATTATAGCTTTGTTTGTGTTGTTCTTCGTCTATGATTTTTAGTGTTTAGTTTTTGTTGATATCATGATTTGACTGCTGAAAAATTGTTTATGTTCTTTTATTTTTCTGAAAAATGGCGGCTTGATTTGCAGTTATAAAGGAACAATAGAGAGAAATAGAGTTCCTTCATTTTAGATGCTGATGCTGATTATAGGATAGCGTGATAATGATGTTTTTATTTTTATTTATTTTCCATTTTCATTTTTGCAGTTAATGATGTTTTGTTGTTAAAAACGAAGACTAATAAATAATTTTTGTTTTGCAAGTTTTCCGTTGTGCATCTACAGATCTTTGTATGAGAATCTCAGTTGTTATATAGCTTGATAAATTGACACGATTTAGTTTTTTGGAGTAGAGAAATGAAAGTTCACAGTAAAATTATGACTGATTTCTTTATTTAGCGCCTAGTAAGCGCTGTTTGTTTGAATCAATTGTTTAACGGGGCATTGTTATTGCAAAATCTTGTAGTTCTAAATAAATGGACACTATGGATTTAGATATTGCATTATGAAACATACTCTTAACTTACAATCATAGAGCAAAAGTTTTTATTTTTCATTTACTCGTTTGTACCTTCTTGATTTGTTTGTGGGGAAGCAACTCCTTAAATATTTAGAAGAATTTTTGTTTCCAGTATTAATGGAAAATGAGATATAATTTCAACGAATTGCCAGCAAAAATAACCACCGCAAGCTCAAAACAAGGGTTCACTATCAATGTCTCTGATTTCTATTGCACAAAATAGAGCCGAAGAGAACATTGCACCATTCATTCCCTCTACATGCATGCTCAAAACCTGATGATATGGTACTCGAGGTGACTTAGCTTGCCAATTTGTACTTCATTTTTTTCTTCTTCTAAAAGATGATTGAATTTCTAAAAAAAGTTAATAGAGGATGCTGGTTATGACTTATATTTCTCACTTTATATAAATGGAATTGGCTACATCATTGTTCATTGCTGGGTTTTTATACTATTTATAATATGCCATTCTGTTCTTTTATGTTTTAGAAGCTTTATTAAAGTATAAAATGGTGGATTGAGACCAAAGGTTGGATGAATGATCTGGAATAGTCCCATATTCTTGTTTAACATGCTATATGAATATTGAAGATATACTGAGGTTGAATGCAAGATTTGTGAAATAACTCAAAGACCCTTAAATGGAAGAAGATAGTTTTCAGTTGGATTAATTGATTATTATTATTTTTTTACTTGAGTTATCACATATTAGTTTCTTCCCTTTGTTTTTTCCATGGGTCATTGTGCTATTATGGAGATCTATTGTTTGGCCTTTTGAGGAGGAGAATGTGTGTACGTATAATGTATTATCTTTTTTATGACCATTGGGATCTAGTTCTCTGTAGAATTTCAGCATGCTCCAGTTGCCTCTATTTAAGTACAACACCTCCATTAAGGGTCTTCCAACATTGATTAAAGTTTTGTCGGGCACATTTTCCTTCTATTTTCGTTGATAAATTCTACCCAAGAAATATAAAAAGGTGGGGAGATTAGGTAGAACCTAACAGAATAAGCCTTCAGCTATTTGAAATATTTGGTGGTTTATTTACCACTTTATGGTCGTTTTATATTTTTTAGCAGGGTGAAACTATGGTTTGGACAAACAAGAAGCACGATTCGTATCTTGGGTTCTTAGAGGCATCATTTGTTAAGCAGTTGCATTATTCTAATAGTTTGCGAGGCTGTCACCCACGAGAGGAAATGTGGGAGCCATGTCCAACTCAATTCTGTGCCGAAGTACATAATTCTTCTCATCAGGTCAGAAACTTACTCTGTTTTTCATCTTCACCTTATGGTTTCACCTTAATTATTTTCCTTGCTTCAGTAAGTTATCTCAATTCTCTTTTCAGTTTTTGGCTCTACAAGGTGGCCGCTACCAGAAGAGCTATGACCCGTTGTTGGACAGCACTGCTGATTCTAGAGGTAACCGGGAAAGTCTGTTACATCATTTTACGTCTGAAGGCAAAAGAAGCTCAAAAACATTTTCTCTTTCAAGAGAAACTTTGGTTGCCGATGGTGGAACGTACTCGAGAAGTGACATGTCCTTAGGTGGCTGCACCACTGGTAAATCTGGCCTCAATCTGCAAGAAAAATTTCCTCTTCCTATTACCTTCATTCATTTCTTTATGAGTTTCTCCATTCCATGCTAACCGGTGTATACTTTTAACTTATGCATTGCACTTTCCCAGGTACATGCATAATCTTCGTAGAGATTTATGTAAACAGAAATGTTTTCTTCTCCACGTATGCTTATGATGTGAATATTTGTTTGAATGAGCCTTTTTGTGGAGAGAAATTTTATATTTTTTCTCGAGTCAAACGTGGAATGGTGGCTGTATTTTTTATTTAACAGAAGTATTTGGTCTTTAATAGTGGTTTCGGATCAGAATTTTGTCGATGAAGACCAAAGAGAAAAGACCAGTTGTGTCTCTAGGGTGTAACGCTCGAAGATGAACACAATATATGATGCTTCATCTACCGAAAGTCCAACGTTCAATACTTTCTAAAGAAGAGTCGACTTTCGACTAATGAATCGAAAATAAAGATCAATGATACATATATTTGGCCGTGAGAGAAATTCGGCAAGTTCTCACCCGGTGCTCTTTTCATGAAGAACGCAAATACAAATGGATGGAGAAAACATGGTGATTTTGCAGTTAGAAGATTTGGTATAGATATAGATGGAATTCTTTTGTCTTTTTTGTCCTCTATTATTAGATCCGAGCTGTGAGCTCCTCTATGCCTAACTTGCATGCTAAGTTATCTTCTGCCGGGTATATGAAGTTTATGATATGTGTAAAAGATTAGGCTATTCCGATACATCGTATTTTCATTTTATTTTGAATGTCCATGAGAATATCTCTCGTCCCTATAGTTCTTTTTCAGCTTCTTTTTTTATATATAAAATATTATTATCTTATTCATTAAAAATTATTTTTATAAATAATCATAGATGGAATGATAAAATTTTATATATGAACTTTAAGATTTTACATAACGCCCTTGCTCGGTCTTAGCTTATCTGATTTATTTAATTAAAATTTGTGTAATAATAATAAGCACCATGCTGCTGATATGTTATTCCAATTTCCAACTGCCATTGTACAAACAAATTGGCGCGGATGACCAGTTGATATGGAGAGAGAGTTCCGTGTTTTATTAACTCCTTTCCGCCACACCTAACTAACTCCCTCCACCGCAACGGCTAGTCGTCAGCCGAAGCCATAAACCGGAGCCCATCGCTCCCTAATGCATTGAGAGAGAGAAGAGAGGAAAGATTGTTTTTTTCTCCTTCTTCTTTAATTTGATTGATGGGTATTGTGCCATATCTAAGAGGAGCAAGAACCCATGAAGGGGTGCCCATATCCGATGGGCTATCACATTCTACATCAGATTCCAACAACAAGAAATGGTTAACTTTGATGCCTTTACTCGTCGCCCTTCTCGTCATTGCTGAAATCGGTTTTGTGGGTTGTTTCGGTTCGATGTTCCGTGAATCGTGCTCTTCTGGTATATTAAAGGTTGCTGGCGCTCGAAATTTTTGGATTCGAGCTTTGGGTGACCATCGCATCTTGACCTGTGAGGAGTGGCTTGAGAGAGAAGATGGCGTGGTTTATTCGAGGGATTTTAGCTTGGATCCCATCTTGGTTTCTTGTGATAAACAGGTTTTTGTTTCGATTTTTTTAACCTTCGGCTTTTAATATTTTGAACTTTTTCAGAGCGGTTTGTCTTTTATTTGCTCATTTCAGCATAATTTAAAAAGAAATAATACATGAAATACAAATAATATATTGTGTTTATGTTATTGCTTTTGAGTGTCCTTCATATTTTTTGTTAATGTCAGAGGAATTATCTTGGAAGTCAGGCACACTCATATACCTATCTACCTACCTCTGTAGATACGTACCTATGCATAAGTTTATCGTAGACATTTCCTATAGTTTTTTTCTATATTTATGTATATATGTATGTACATTTGTAAAATGCCCTCCGTGGGACTTGATCCAACGACCTCAAGGTTAAGAATCTTGTGTTCTACCAACTGAGCTTGATAGTCATCTGTATTATTTTTCTATTTCACTCTATATGTATGCATATATGTATACATCTGTAATATTCTTGTATGTACGCAGGAATGGACAGAGGGATGTATGTAGGGATTGACAGAGGGAAGAGTGGGTAGGGACAATCATCCCACCTGAAAATTTTAAATTTTCAGGTATTTTAGATACTTGTTTTATATTTCTATTAATAATTTGTTTGTTTTCACCCTTAAAATTTTATAAGTTCGTCCCTTTTAAAAAAAATTAAAAGTTCGATACCCTATGTATATATTTCCTATAACTTGTTCTAATCTATGACATTAGATGTTGTATATATTTTTGCTATTTCGCTCTAATGGTGTCGTCATTTTATGTTTGCATGTATATATGTATGCATGTGTATATATGCATTTACATGGGTATGTATGTGTAAGTTTATCCTAGACATTTCATATATTCTTTTCTTATCTAGAACATTTGAAGTTGTATGTTACTTTTCTAGTTCACTCTAAATGTTCTTTCCATTTTGCATGCATGTAAGTAGCATGTTACCTTCTTATTTATGTACGCATGCATGCACGCGTATAGATGTGTGTGTATATACAAGTCATGCTTACATTTCCTATATATAACTTTTCTAATCTAGTATGTTATGAGTTTAGAAGTACATTATTTTACTATTTCACTTTAAATATTCTTGTCAGTTATTGTTCAAAGCTTTGATGATGTTTAGAAGTTGAACTTCTTAGTTGGGTTTTTTGGAGTTGAAGCGGTTATATCTCCTTTTGTATTACTGACTTTCTCTTCTGGGTATTATAGGAGTTGAAACCTTGTGCAGTGGGTTGTAAGATCGGACCCCATCCGAGCAAGAAACCTGATGCTATCATTAGTCAGCATCCAGAAGCTGAAGCACCTAGTGTGCTGCGCTCTATGGAATCGACGGCCTACTACCCGGAAAATAATATTGCTCAGGCACGACGGTGGGTAAGCACAATCTATAATGACTTGGTCGTATTTGAAACGATCACGGATTTCACCCCTAATATTGTGGAAGTTTTGCTGACGCTTACTTGTTTTCTTTCTCTGATATTCCCTTCAACACATGCATCTAGTATGCTTCTCTATTGGAAATGTAAATGATTCCAATGTTTCCCCTTGAACTGGTCGAAGTTATCCGATTATATCATGGGATGTGTCCTATAAAGATAGGGTTGGAAGTGGATTTAATGGGGGACGTCTCTGTAAGATTAACGATTCCATTCTGTTTTGCTTTGGATTTAGGAGTGGCCACGAATATGTAATGACAACTAGCCTCTCATCGGATGTCCCAGTCGGATATTTTTCATGGGCAGAGTATGATATAATGGCACCAGTGCTTCCGAAGACTAAAAAGGCCATTGCAGCTGCTTTCATTTCTATCTGTCACGCCCGCAACTTTCGTATTAAAGCTCTTGTCAGGCTCAAAAAGGAGAATATCAAGATAGATTCTTATGGTAGATGCCACGGAAATCGCAATGAGAATGGTGAAATCAAAGTGATCCATGCTTATGTTATAAACTACTAATTGTCGCATATTTCCCATAGGTGTTAGGCTGTTTCTTTATGAATTGCTTGCCTTGGCAAATCAACCTGAAACTCTTCAATGCACTAGTTTTAAACTGCAGCAACTACATAATTGTGTCACTTCTACTGCGTAAAGTAGTGCATGAACAAATTTCATGTAAATTTGCAGTGGACAAAGTCAAAGCTCTGAAACACTGTAAGTTTAACTTGGCTTTCGAGAACACCAACGAAGATGATTACGTCACGGAAAACTTTTTCCAGTCCCTCGTTGCAGGTATGAACATTACTTTGCTACCGCCTTGAAAGTTCCCTTATTCATGTGTTGTTGCTTTGAACCTGAATGGCCGATATGATTTGATTTCAGTTTCATCATCGGATTAATGGAAACGTTAATATTTTGCAGGAAGCGTGCCTGTTGTGGTTGGTGCTCCAAATATCGAAGAATTTTCTCCTTCTCCTGGTTCATATTTACATATTAAGGAATTGAAGGATGTTCACTCGGTTGCAGAAAGAATGAAGTACCTTGCGAAAAACTCGGATGCTTATAATCAATCATTATGGTGAATATTTTAGTTACACACACCTATCTCCACTGCTTTCATGGTTTCTTTGGTGATCGGATTATACTTTGGTTTCTGCATGCCAAATTTTGTTGACAATCTGTGGTTTCAGGTGGAAGTTCGAAGGCCCGTCTGATTCGTTCAAGGCCCTTTTGGATATGGCTGCTGTTCATTCGTCATGCCGTTTGTGCATTCAGTTGGTGACCATCTTCCAGGAGGAAGAAGAAAAGAACCCCGACGTCCAGAAACGCCCCTGCAAGTGTGAGATGGGATCGGAAACTGTGTATCATTTGTATGTAAGAGAGCAAGGGAGGTTCGAGATGGACTCTATTTTCTTGAGGTAGTTCCTGTACTCTTTTAGCTACTAGTGTTGGGAAAATAGACTGCTGTAAAACGAGGCATTAGCACTGACAAGAAAGATATATATTGAAATATATAAATAAAGAACCGATTAACCGTGTCGTGGTATTAACCACTGCCTTAGAAACGAATTCGCCCCGATGTGTGTAATCGCTGCAGTAGGCGGACCGTCCCCCGAGGTTAACACGGTCACTCCGAATTCCGTACACCCGAAACCGGAGTGGACTTGGTGGTATTGCTCTTCTCTCAACTCAAACAACACTCAAAAGAGAGGAGTGTTTCAAAGCAAATGATTGCTTGGGATTATCACAAAGTGAATGAAATTACCCTCTATTTATAAGCTAAATAATGAGGGTAAAATAACCACTTCTAAATCACAATTTAATTCTATTAAACATAGAATTAAAAACCATTAAAAGTCTGTTACAAATTGAGCATTACCAACATTCCCCCACTAATGCGAAAGAATTCTTTCGTAAAGATGAGAGCAATGAAGTTAAAACACGAGAAGAGCAATAGCGAGATCAGTTGCTTAAGCACTAGTGAACGTATCTGGAACTAGTACATAGTGATGATGAGCAATCCTTCTCTTAGATAAGTGAAACTAGTCTGGAACTTTCTAAGATGGGGGTAAACTCATAACACACAACTAACCCCTTCATCCACCTGAGTCCTCGATGTGTAAGATATATATATACAAAAGTATATATTTGGCCATCTTACCTCAGGATTCTAGTAAGTGTGCTAGAAAAATGGTCCAACATTTTTCATAGAAGGCGGCTAACCCTTCTCACTTACATAGGTTATTTCATCAAGTTTATCTCAACATAAACCACCCTTTAAAAAAAAGAATATGAAATAATTAAGAGCTTTTATAATAGCTCAACCTCACAAAGGGTATGGTGACTTTTTTCAAGTTCATTATAAATGAACCACCCAAACTCTGGGCTAAGAAGTCATTAAGAATAAATATTCAACCTCATTTATCGGTAAATTCAATAAGTCCTTCTCACTAGAACCGTCCAAATACTTGGATTTGAATTTATTAAGAGTTTAACAAACTCAACCTTTCTGTCGGTAAGTTCATCATTTCCTACCCACTCACTCTGGTTATGAACTTATTAAGAATAGATATTCAGCCAAAATCGGTAAATTCATCAAGTCTTTCTCACTAAGACCACCCAAAGCCTGGGCTATGAATTTATTAAGAGCAATTAAGCTCATCCTGGGCATGCACATTATTCATCATAGGGATAGGCAGTAGGAATGTGCACTATGAGTCTTTTCATGGTTTCGTTTGACCACATGGAACTTAGATAACTAAGTTGGGTATCCACCATGAATTCCTCAACCAATGGGCTTTAGACCCATCCCCCTCGACGAATCTAGGACCAACTTCCGACTTAACCCTTTGGTAAGTGGATCTGCTAGGTTCCTTTCCGACTTCACATACTCTAAAGAGAGCACTCCATTCTTTATCAAGTGTCTAACTGATTCATGTCTTATGCGAATGTGTCTTATCTTACCATTGTAAGTTTGGTTCTTAGCCACATATATCGCAGCTTGTGAATCACACAACAATGAAACTGGAGGAGTTGGTCTTCCCCACAACGGAATATCTGCTAACAAGCTTCTGATTAATTTAGCATATTCAGTTTGGGAAACACTACTTCCTTTATTCTTAACTATATGTATGCTAGGGTCATAAGGAGTTCGAACAGGGACGACATAAAAACTGTCAAATTTCTTTAGCACTTTCTCTTTATAATGTGCTTGACATAAAGAAAATCCCTTCTCAGTTTTGGTAACTTTGACTCCTAAGATTACATCAACTTCTCCCAGATCCATCATCTCAAATTTTGTGAACAAGAAACCGTTTGTTTTGTTAATGGACTCAATGTTAGAACTGAAAATCAACATGTCATCAACATACAAAACTTATGATGACGCAATCAGTATCAAACATCCTCGAATACACGCAAGCATCCGAACCATTCAATACAAAACCAAAACTAAGTATAGTTTTATGAAATTTCTTGTACCATTGTTCTCATATAGATCTCCTCATCTAGATCTCCTTTCAAAAATGCAGTCTTAACATCTATTTGATGTACTCGCAACTTATGAATGGAGACTAGTGCAAATAATGCACAGATCATTGAGATGTTCATAACAGGAGAGTAAGGATCGAAGTAGTCTAAAACAAACTTTTGAGTGAACCCTTTGACAACTAGCCTTGCCTTATACCACTGGATCAAACCATCTGGTCTCATTTTCTTCCGGAAGATTCATTTGTTACAGATTGGTTTAAATCCTCTAGGCAAGTAAACTAATTCTCAAGTATGATTAGACATTATCGATTCTAGTTCATCATTAATAGCGCTTTTCTAGAACTAGTATCGATAGATCTTATAGCCTTTTAGGATCCTCTTATAATATTTAAGCTATATGATCAGAAAGAGAGTCTAAATCATTTATCTCAGAAATAAAGGAAGTGATAAAATTTGGTCCAAATAGCCTTTTACTTCTTCTAGTCTCGAAATCAATTTCTTGAGAAGACCTAGCAGGAATACTAGAAGAAGTTGATAGAATATTTTCTATTTAAGTTTAAGCATTTAATCTACATTTTAAGACACCCCCACATTTCTAACATTTTAGGATATCCATAAGTGTCTTGTAAAACGTGTAAACAAATACTCAATCATACTAGAGTAAAGTTTGTTATGAGTTTTAGCCATAAAACTATATTTTAACAAACTAAAGTTTTGTTTACACATAATTATATTCTCAAAGTTTTGAGAAGTTACAAATCATTAAGATTAAAATGCATAAACCATTATGAAATAGATAATCTCTTTTCTTTCCTCTACTTAGGAAAATCACTTAAAGAGATTTAATAGCTACAACACACTCTTAGTAGCAATATTGTCTATCATATTTTCATTCATGATATTCAACATATTAGCCTTAAAGAGATCATCATATATTTTATTTACTATGACTAAGTTTGGTATTCCACTCAACCAAATTAATCTTCACTCTTTTAACTTCTACACTAAGTTATAAGAGTTTTTTATCTTGTCATAGTATTGGAATAGTGAGCAAAGTAATGAAAAATGCACCAGGTAGGTTTCTATGAAAGAGAGGTGGTGCACTAGGCACGCTTAAGTACCAAGTCTTCATAGAACCAATCCTAGACATGCATTTTCATACTCATCACACTACTTTCCAATAAATCATTTGTGAATTTTCTTTCTCTTTAAATAAGATCTCTTTAAAGAATTATGCTTGATACTTTTACTCACAATAGTATATTATTAAGCATATATGTTTTTGGGCTCACACTACCACCTTAGCCTTAGTAGTACTACCTTAGTCTTTACTAGTGGTTTTATCTCATTTCATAGTATCCACTAAGTTTTAAAGACTAGCTTAAAGGCTCACACAATCTAATTCATGTATTTAAAAGGCATGAATTAATAGGAAACAAGTCTAAATAAACTGACCTCGTAGGTAGAATCAAAATTGCAATTAGACTTGTTCATTCTCACCATGCATGCAACTTCATTCTTTGCATCATCATCTTCATGATTCTCCAAAATTGTAATCATCATGTTGTCTTTATAAATTTCTCAAAAGAAATTATTAGTATGATAAAATAGTTGATATTTATTTTCACCTTAATATTCAGAAACTGAATAATCTTACCCCCACATGAAAATAAATAGTTACTTTTCTCCACATATCAACTAGCATACATGCAAATTAAAACTTTTGCCATTCGACCGTTCCAATGTTTTGAATAACATAACCCAAAATATTTATGAGCTTTTAATAAATATTTTCCATAACCATTTGGCCTTTAACAATTATAAATGGTTATTAATCTTTCACTAATCTGACCATTAAAATTGTTCTTCAATTCAATAAACCATATTAAAACCAATGTTTTCATGGCCATTATGAAATTCATTAAAAGCTATAAATAAATTGGTTCTATCATAAAATATTTATAATGTACCTTGCAATTGGATATATCATACTGTATTAACACATTGCACTAAAACATGGAAATGTAACATACTTGCAACAAAAATTGCAATTCTCACCTGCAATTCTTTCATAAGTGCATACTTGAATGTAATTCAATTGCCAAAGTATAAACAACAATTCTCACTATTTTATTATAAATATCGTTAAACTTTAATACCATAATTAGCATTAAAAACTGTCTTAATTATGATTATAAATCCGTTGAATATTAATTCATCTCAATGTCAATACCATTTATAATCCATAAGTAATATCATTTCAAACGTTAAGACAATTAATAACATTTAGAGATTTTCAACGGCTATAAAATTTTAAAAGTCATTAAAACAGAAGTTTTAATCATACTAATAATGATATTAAATATTTCACCAAAAAAAAAAAAAAAACTTACCAAAGCCCCAACGCCACCTAAACTCGGGCTAATTGTTGACGTTTAAAAGCAATAACCGACTAACTATTTGGCCTTTTATTCAATATATAAAAAACTCATAACATTTGGTTTTAGCGCATATCATGCATTTTTTTTTTAAATTGCAAAGAATTACTCACTGTTTTATAGCCTTCGCACTAAAGATTAAACTCGACATATTTCTTTAGCAATTTTGTAGGCATGTAAAACATATAAAAACATTTTTACTTCCATAAACAAGATAGATCAAACCTGAATTCGGATTAAAGATCCTTGTAACGATGATCAATCATGATAAGTATTCTTTCAACAGCAGTAGAAATTCGTTTCTAAATTGTTGGGAAAATAGACTGCTGTAAAACGAGGCATTAGCACTGACAAGAAAGATATATATTGAAATATATAAATAAAGAACCGATTAACCGTGTCGTGGTATTAACCACTGCCTTAGAAACGAATTCGCCCCGATGTGTGTAATCGCTGCAGTAGGCGGACCGTCCCCCGAGGTTAACACGGTCACTCCGAATTCCGTACACCCGAAACCGGAGTGGACTTGGTGGTATTGCTCTTCTCTCAACTCAAACAACACTCAAAAGAGAGGAGTGTTTCAAAGCAAATGATTGCTTGGGATTATCACAAAGTGAATGAAATTACCCTCTATTTATAAGCTAAATAATGAGGGTAAAATAACCACTTCTAAATCACAATTTAATTCTATTAAACATAGAATTAAAAACCATTAAAAGTCTGTTACAAATTGAGCATTACCAACAACTAGTACATTGTCCCAAATCGTTTTTATCCTGTACCGGTTAGACTTTCGTTAAACATAACTATAAACGATTAAACCGGAAGAAATCCTTATTGCCGACATTGATGAACAGGTCCAGAAACATGACTCTAGAGGCATTGGAGGCTGCAGTTCTTATGCATTTCAAGTCTCGTAAACATGAGCCTATTTGGAAATGGGAAAGACCCGAAAGCATTAGAGGGGGTGAACTAAAAGTATACAGAATATATCCTCTTGGGTTGACACAGAGACAGGCTTTATATACCTTCAAGTTCAAAAATGATGCTGATCTTAGGAATCACATCAAAAACAACCCTTGTGCCAAGTTAGAAGTCATATTCGTCTAGATCAATGATTCCGTTACATCATCTCCGAGCACATTTTACGGAGTCCCAATTATCTGCAGTACTTTGCTGAGATGCATTTCCTGAGAGATCAAGGCAACCTCAAGCAGGTTATGAATTTCGTTATACTGTTGTTTTAAGTACTCCGTTTTTTCTTTACCATTGATGAACTGCTAAGTTATAGTTTGATGAACAATTATCAAAATTCCCGGATGGTTCGATTTGTTTAGGCTAAGGCCCTAAATGCATCCCGTCCATTTGAGTTTTAGCTTCAAATTCTTTGATTATTTAGCTCAACTTTGTTGACAGCACTATTAATTATTTGATGAATTTTACTTTAGATATGTTAGTATCTGTGCATAAGTTGTTAACTTCAAAGGTAAATTATTCACTTCATCATTCAACTTGATCGTATTCAAGATTTGATAATTAAATTTTAAAAAATTTCTTATTTAATTACTTAACTTTCGAATTATCTTACTAGTAGTCAATTTAGTTTTAAAGAAGAAACATGAAGTGATTTTTTTTTTGCTAACATGAAAGTCAAGTTATTTTTAGAGTTTCATCCCATCTCATGTCGTCGCAACGTTATTGTTCTTTGACATCTTTTCAAATTGCTCTAAACACCAACGAATTCATCTTGTTATCTCATACCAAACCTCTTTAAAACTCGTGAAATTTCAACTCTAACCTCAAGGTTAGAGGAAAACGACTCGTATGAGATATAATTTACAAGTGCATTAACAAACAATCATGTTCAACAATCCAAGCTTTTTGACCAATTACAAGAACCAGAGAACAGGTTTCAGAGATTAAAAATACAAAAACCAAGCATGTAATGCGAGTAAAGTCAAATCAAACTTTATTAAAAGTTTTGTTACTGGTACTCAAGTGCGAGCGACAAGAAATATTTTCATATATTTGGAAAGTACCACGTGTTGGGAAACTGTCATCGTCTACCGAAGAGGCTGATCGAGCTGACTTTCATCGGAGTCGCCACAACCAGTGGAGCTTCAGGTGAGTTACTAGCAGCGAAGTTGTCATGCATGAAGCGACTCTCTATGATGGATTCGTCCTTCAATATGATCTTGTAGCAATAACAGCTCTTGAGACCCTGTTGATTCCGATAGCATTCATGAGCACTGTTCTTCACTTGCTGGAAATCCCATATAACACTGAATTTTCCCACGGTTGCGACTAGGTGACGCTCTTGTTTACCGTTCTCGGTGACCTACAGAAAGTTCAATACACAAGTCAGATCCGAATGTAAAATGAATGTCTATGTAGTATCGATGTCACATGTAGCAACACAAAATGGTCATTTATGTTGATGAATCACATAAGAATGGAGACAATCTGTTTTACACAACTTAAAACATGCATGATGGCCTAGCCTAAGCAATTCTATAGCATGTAAATATGGCAATGCGTCCCTAGTATTAACAAAGGAAACTTTGAGTCCATGAAACATCAAATGATACGCAATTATCAACAAACAAGAATCAAAACATAGAGAAACAGTAAACATGCTTCATCAAACTTCAAATAACAGTGATAAACAGTATCGTAGAAAACAATTAATGAAGGAATGTCTTTATCTTGCCCACGAGAAATGGCCACCATGAAACTTATTATCGTTCCCAGCTAGATGTGAATCCAGAGGAGTCAACTTCAACAATCTGGGTGCTGGAATTTTATTCCCCATTCTACCACTAACCCGGTTTTGGTCTTCCCGTCTTTATCCGTGAACATAGTGCAAATGAGGATCAGATATGTATCAGTTGTTCCCAAAATCCATTTCCCATCATAGGTAACATCTAAATGAATGATCGGCGAACCGAGTCCGGGAAATGCAGTCTTGGCCTGCCTCATTGATGTCTTCGAATACAACCTGATCTTCCCATCAAGTGATCCAACCACAATCGATCCATCGCCGGTACTAGCAAAGCACTGGAAATTCGTCCCTCTCGAGAACTGATGCCCTTTTGTCCAATGCAAAACAGGTGAGTCACTTGTGGCAATGTTCTGAACCATCCCCTTCTGATCTCTCATATCCCATTGGCACAATCTATTATCATCCAACCCTAAAAAGGTCGATTCGGAGGGATCCAATTGCGACCCTTTCGTATCATTGGTGATATCTCTCATCGTAACATCAGCCCCATCTTTCTCAAACTTCCACTCGGTAACAATCTTCCCTGTCTCAATATCAACCTGCTTAAGCCCGGTAGCATTCGGCTTCCCTTCTTTCGCTGGACTCATAAGCATCATATTCGTCTCTGCCTTCATTAACAGCGCCTTTTTCGGGGTTGAATTCAACATATTTCCCTCAATCCTCGAACCCCCAGCATCGAACTTAACACAAATACCTTTAGCATTTATTCCACGGTTAAAGTTCCTATAAACTTGAACACCCAAATCATTAACCAAGAAACTATTATCCAACGCACCCAAAGCCAAACTCTGAACACCTCCATTAGAAGCTTCCTCAAACTCCTCCATCAATTCTCGACTCCCTTTAACCGGTGCCGGATCCGAGCTATGATCCTCTGCATCTTCCCACATGGAATCATCAGCTGCTTCAGGTTTCATCCACCCAATAAACTCCTTCCCATAAACCTTAATCTTATTCTCCTCAGTAGCTTCCATACCATAAACATTCTCAAACAAACAATTCTGAAATTGGGTAACGAAATTCCTATACTCTTCATCGGTCAAAAACTTCAAAGCCCAAACAGCTTTATCAACAAAATCGACTCGTTTTTGATCCCCAAACATTTTCAATTGCATTTCAGTTGAAACCCTAGCCTTAACTTTCGAACCCACTTCCAAAACCCAACAGGATTCATCGTCGTCGTCATCATCATCATCGTTTTTCTTGGTGAAACTATAAGAAGTGAGTTTTTCAGAGATTACCCATTTGGCTTTGGGAGTGTTCCCGCCTATATGAAGGTAAAGCTTCACTGGGTTTTTGAGATTGGGGCTCGGTTGTTGGGGAGAGTTGTATTTCAGTTTTAGGGATTTGAGCTTAGCGTCGATATCGTCGATGCTTTTGCTATTACCTGAAGAAGTTGATGATGAAGATTGGGTGTTTCGGTGATCGCTTAAAGCGTCGTCGTAATGCTCTTTTTCCTGTTCTTTTTCTTCTTCATACTCTTCTTCGGATTCTGAATCAGTGAATCGATCTTCTCTGCTTTGTGAAGTACCCATTTTTGGATCTTAATGAATTTCACAAATAGGTTGAGAGAGTAAAGTGCAAAAATTAATAAATTTCTGGGCTTTCAGAGCTTATGATTTGCTTATTATCGGTTTCGGATAAAGCTAGGAGGCGACAGATTATTGTATTAATAGCCCCGAATTTGTCACTTTGGTCACCGGCTAGTACCGGTTAATAAATACTAAAAATATAGCATGTCCTAAGTTCAAGGTTTTATAAGTAGAAAATTATCTGTTAAAAAATTCATTCATTAAAATTATGTGATAAGAGTAATTCAGATTAATCCGGATGAAATTATAAGGTCGGAAAGAAAAAATAATTTATATTTATTAAAAAAGTATACTAATAAAAATTTGTTTTTAATATAATTTAATAATTATTTATATTCTTACCCTTAATTGATTAATGAAACCGAGCTTTCAACAAGGTAACCGGAGAAAGTTACTGTATTCCCGACTTTGTTACTTTGGTCACCGGCTATTACCGGTTAATAAATATTAAAAATGTTGTTTAAACATATCTTAAGTTTGAAGTTTTGTACGTTAAAAATTTTCGTTGAAAAATTCATTCATCAAAATAAGATATGCAATGTAAGTCTATCCAGATTAATCAAAATGAATTCTTAGAATCAAGAGGATAAAAAAATAATTAATTTATATTTATTAAAAAAATTAAACTAATAAAATTTTATTTCAATATGATTTAATAATTATTTATATTCTTACCCTTAATTGATTAATGAAACCTAACTTTCAACAAAGTAACCGGATATAATTGGTCAGCGTTGATATAACGTGGCCCTAAACCTTATCAACGAAGCAAAGCGCCACACGATGGAAACTTGGGATACTAGTAGTACGCATAAATAAGCAAGTCTTTGCCATGGCGTCGCGTTTCGAAAACGCAAAACATTAAAAATTAGCAGTTGACAGTACGCGTTTAAAGAAACTCTAAATAATGAAACTAAGCTTCGAATATTTCCCTTAACAGCTTGCAACTGTTTTTCATATAAAAGAAAATAAGCTATATTACTTGGAATCGGGAATGTCAAATAAGAACATGTATCTGCTGCATCCAAATTTTATATCGAACATGACATAGGTACTTGAAGGAAAATAAAGTCGGAATAACATAAGACCTGAAGTTCGAATTTTAGAATACACTGAATGAACCACAATTTCCAGGTATTATTCCCCATGCCTTTCCCACAATCTAACTAATAACAACAAATACATAGGCATTTACATTGCTTTTTGCTCCATTTTGCCTTGAGAAGCAATGCCGCTTGAATCTACATTGTAATCACTTAACACTGACCTCTGTTGGTGAAACGATGGGTGGATGCATTTATGAAATGAGAAAAACAACAAAAAGACGACAACTTTCCACTCTCACAAAGCATCTCGAGCAGCAATTCGGCATGTTACGGCGTCTGCAAGAGTTGATATGCCTAGCTCGGGGCCGGATATTTTGTAGTGCTGAAGAATGCCCAAAAATGATAAACCAATCATATGATAAAGGTGACGAGAGCAATAAAATATAGAGATCAACTTCACAAACCTTTTGTATCGGGGCTTGATCTGCTCTTCCTTCCAACTCAACTAAACCGATCTCTTTTCCATCAATAAACTTCTCCACAGCTTTCATCTATGAGGAATTACAGTAGATCATTTGCTGAAAAGTCAACAAGTGTAGGCAACTTTCGGTGGGTTTTTTTTACAACAATATTTTTGGTGCAAGTGGTGCAAATGGCAGCTGAAATTGTTGAATATTTTGGATGGTAAAACTATGCAAT